ACCCCTGGGAGGTTTTCAGGAACCATGGTGCATTTTCTGACACCGTCGGCGTGGCCCGGACGAGGAAGCAAAACTGCCACCTAAATGACACATTCACTCATGCATGGGCGCGGGAACACGGGACGGGACCTGGAGACCACGCCCCCACATTTTTTGAATTATTTACATCAACCCTAAGATCTACTACGGAACCATCATCCCCCCCCCCCTCCAGAACACACTTTTTGAAACGTTCTTATGCCAATTCAAGCATGCCGTCCGACAACCCGGCGGCACACAGCTTATACACGCCAGCGTCCAGACCCTGCGCTCGCCAACGCTCCGAGATCATCCACAGCCGTGAACACTGCCAACCAGCCCCGCTGTCCGCACTGCGAGGCGAGCGCCCCGGCGCGACCGGCCGGGCCTCACCTCTGGTCGACGCCCGCCGGGAGGAGCCGGCCGCGGCGGCCGCCGGGCTCGGGCGCGCCCGCTGCGCCCGACTGCGCCGATGGTCCCAGATCAGCTTGTCGACGCGCACGAAGATGCCGTGCCTCGGCTGGCATTGGAAGTACTGCACGTCCTTCACGCTGCCGTCGTTCTTCCCTGCGACCGCGGGCGGGTTACATACCGTCCGGCGGCCTGGGCTCAGGTGAACGTGTTCAACTGTGCTAGCAAACAGGGCTACTGCGGCCGTTGGCGCACCATGAAGGTCAGGTGGTTCATTAAAAACCGCAGCACCTTGCAGCTTATGCACCATAAGGCTTCGCGGTCCCTAAAAAAATGTGACACCACGTGGGCGCCAAATACAAACTCCGGACAAGCCACCAAGCTCGTGTCGGTAAATAAACAAAAAATATTTCATGCTAAATTTATATATATATATATATATATATATATATATATATATATATATATATATAAGCCATGACGAGGTTGTGTGACAGCTGACACAGCCAGTCTGTGCGCGGCCGCCAGCTCACAGATTACTGGACCAGCGGCGCGGCTGGAGCTCCGCGGCCGGGGCCCGGGCGGCACGCACCTTGGGGCAGGTCGAGGTCGACGCCCACCCAGCAGCCGGGCGCGAACCGGACGGGGCCGACAAAGCGGATGTGGCCGGAGAGCGACTGGGGCCGCACCAGCACCGCCTCGCCGGGCGTCACCCACTCGGCCAGGCCGGCTGTCGGCGGGCGGCCGGCCGTCAGGCATCGTATCACCTAGGCTTGGTGGGGCGGCCGGCGCGGGGGACACAGCAGCTGGCGGCTCGGCACGGATGTACCGGCGAGTCACGGACGCACGCATCACTGCCACGACGCCGATGGAACACGAGGTGATGTGGCGGTGTGGAATGTGAAGCTCATCTTCACTAACAAGACGCGCCAGCCCACATGGCCAGCACCGGAATCCCTCACCCCAAGTGGAGGAGACAGACGCACACTAGCGGGTCTTCCCAGCCTCGATCTGGCTGGTCTGAGCTAGGACAGCGCAGTAGGTGGCGTATAGCTGTTAAAATGACGCACGTTATGCAGCACGGACCGGGGAGGAATAGCACGACACGGCCGCGGACACTGCACTCGACGGTTTTCAAGGGGCCAGTGTAGACTGCCTAACTCACCAATACAGTTGTCAGTCTGCGGCTTGCCCGCCTCATGGTCCTCCCAGTCCTGGCCGTTGGAATCCAGCTGCGTGTCATGGTTAGGCTCCTGCTGCAGAGGCTCCCCTTGCTCCTCACTAGGCTCCTGCTGGTGTTCAAGCTGCGGGGGCTTCTGTTCCGGCTCCTGCTGGATTTGCTGCGGCGGATCCTGAAGCCCTTCTAACGATGATCCCTGCTCCGCCTCGAACTCCTGACGCATTTGCCGCTGAATCTCCTGCTCTCGCTCTGGTTGAGTTTTCTCCTGAGGTTGCGGCTGGGACTCCCGTGGAATCTCCTGAGGTTGGAGCTCCGGCTCCTGGTGATTCTCGGGAGCCTGTCCCGCAGGCTCCTGCTGACTCTCCCCGGGCCGCGGCTGCCCCTTATTCTCCTGAGTCTGCCCCTCCTCCCGCTGCCCCTCCGCCGGCTCCGGCTGCGGCTCCGGCTGCGGCTCTGGCCGCGGCTCCGGCTGCGCGCCGGGCGGCGCCGGCTCGGGCCGGCCGGCGCGGCGGCCGTAGGGCTGCGGCTCGGCGGCGGCCGACGCCGGCGGCCGTTCCGACTCCCGCCGGCTGGTGTCGGCAGGCCGGCGTGCCGCCACCACGCTCGCCTCCGAGTCGGGCGTCTCGTCGATGCTCTGCAGCGACACCGAGTCCTCGCTGGACAGGTTCGACGAGCTGACCGCCTGCGAGCCGTAGCCGCTGCAACAGGGGACGTGCGCGCGCGCGCGAGCTCACTCGCCCGTCCGACCGCAGCCAGCGCCAGCGATCGTCGTCACCGCACGCGCAGCCCGCACGCGGGCATGGCGTCACGCACTACGCATTCGCCGCCTTTTCAGCGACCACAAGTCGATCAGAACGAGTATAAAATGGCATGTGTCTGGCTCTTGCAATTTCACATGCGGCTTTTTGATATGGATTTGCCATAAGACCAGATCTTAGCCCCGACACATCGGATTTGAACTATCGGTAGACACACCGCTTTCCTCTCAATAACGTTTTCGCTGGCGCGACATTGCCTGCAACGGAAGAGGTTGGAGATGACTGACCTGGAGGTAACGCTGGGCGAGTTGGTCTTGGCCGGGGCCGGGATCTCTACTAGGGAGTCAAACGTTCGCGAGCTGCGCATGCGCCCGGAGAGCCGCGTCCGAGCAGCCGCGCCGCGTCCCTGAAACATCATACGGACGGCGCGTCACGACATGACCGCTGTTCCCCGCCGCTGACGGCAGCGCGCAGAGGCTGTAAAGGCGACGTGTAGAGGCATCCGGCGTCATGGTGGCGCCGCTGACAGGACGGGCGGCAGATTCACCGGGACCGGCTGGGCAGGGCCAGCGGCATAACTCACCGGGGCCGGCTGGGCGGAGCCGGCGGCAGCACTCACCGGAGCCGGCTGGGCGGGGCCGCCGGCAGCACTCACCGGGGCCGGTTGGGCGGAGCCGGCGGCAGCACTCACCGGGGCCGGCTGGGCGGAGCCGGCGGCAGCACACACCGGGGCCGGCTGGGCGGAGCCGGCGGCAGCACTCACCGGGGCCGGCTGGGCGGAGCCGGGCGGCAGCACTCACCGGGGGCCGGCTGGGCGGAGCCGGCGGCAGCACTCACCGGGCCGGCTGGGCGGAGCCGGCGGCAGCACTCACCGGAGCCGGTTGGGCGGAGCCGGCGCAGCACTCACCGGGGCCGGCTGGGCGGAGCCGACGGCAGCACACACCGGGGCCGGCTGGGCGGAGCCGGCGGCAGCACTCACCGGGGCCAGCTGGGCGGAGCCGGCGGCAGCACTCACTGGAGCCGGCTGGGCGGAGCCGGCGGCAGCACCCACCGGCGCCGGCTGAGCGAGCCGGCGGCAGCACTCACCGGAGCCGGCCGGGCGGAGCCGGCAGCAGCACTCACCGGGGCCGGCTGGGCGGAGCCGGCGGCGTCGGCGCGCTCCGGCGATCCCTCGCGGTCGTGGTCCTCGTGCAGCGTGCTCATCCTCGAGGCCAGCTTCAGCGAGCCCGGGCTGGGAGTGGCTGCGAACGGGCGTCGCGTCAGCACGCGGACTGGCCCGGCGTCCAGAGCACGCCAAAGGGGGCAGGAAAGCCTCATCGTCAGCTAACATGTTAGATCAGAATACTAACGAGCGCGATTTATCTGTCAACAGCCACAGAGTTATTTAACACCTTGAGATCATGGCCAACATCAGGTGACGGCATGTGGGGTAGTTTGCCCACGTGACAGCATACACACGTAATCGAAATTTCAATAATAACAACCCACAAATGCAGCTGCAAGGCCAACAAATTAAAAAGAAGTCTGAACGCATTCGCCAAATGAAAACAGCAAGCCAACCTCGTCGCGTTCTACTTGCCATGCAAAAACCCCGCCAAACAAGGTGCCAGTGAGGCAACACACTGACCGGAACACACACACACACACACAGAACCGAACGGGGCTACGGGATCGCAAGCCCTGCTCCGGGTCACGTGACACCCTGCGGGCATTGGAGAAGGCAGCCCGCCGTGATATGCGGCACCCAGGCGGTCGGGAGGAGCTCTATAACATGCTCACACGGCCCCGTCCTGACCGGAGGCAGGACACTGTCATACCGGACACCTGGCGGCGCTTAGAACGGACTCACCGCAGCGGAGCTGTACAGGCTCTGCTCTGCTGCCAAGGCCTGCTGGTTACTCGCGTAATAATGAATGGAGATGAGGTCAGATTGTGAATAGCCATGTCGCTTCGTCTTTTTAGCCCTTACAGGAATAATTTGACCGGTTTTGATCATACCTGTCGAGTCAGAGTATGGACTCAACAGTCTTTTTTATGATCGGAGAATTTGCAGCACAATACCGGCGTCGCTCTTAAACCCTTTGGACCCTTCTGGCCACTTGCCAATCAACCGCCAGCACCTAGTGATAGAAGCACGGTTTTGAGGTCTCGAACAAACGCGACCGAACACAGCGGTCGCTTCTCTGGAGTTCCACGAGCCGAGAATCATGGCGAAGACCAACACTGCCATGGCCATAGAAACCATTGGCCAGGGCAATTCACTAGGCTTGCTTCGCGAAAACCCATTATGAACACTACCTAACAGTTCACTCACGTCATGTCTATCCATGTCTGATCGACAAAGCCATGGCTGATGCTTTGCCTCGTTTTCGTTCCAGCGAACCAACGGAACCGCACATGTTTCTCCACGCTGGATGATTCCACGCACTGTGGCTCATAACGCCCGCTTTCATGCTGAAACCGACACGCCTGCGCTGAGGCATTAGCCTGGTGTTGGCCAGGCCCGCAGTGTGGACGTGGCCCCAGCTCGGCACCCCGCCCCTGACGTCATCACGGACGGGGGTGGCTGAGGCCCGAGCGGCAGCTAGCGTACGTGCAGCATGCGGCGGCAGCAGCGGCGGCAGCGACAGCGGCGGCGGCGGCGGCGGCGGCGGCTCGGCGCCCGCCTCCTCATGCAGCGCCATCAGTGAGCCGCTGAGGCCAGACAGCATCGACCTACACTTGGACATGGCGCCCTGCAGGCGGCCGCCGGCCGTCAGGTTCAGGAACGTGGGCCGATCTGCGGAGCACGCGCACCGGCACGCGGTCAGACAGAGCCGGCGCGCACGCGTGGCGAACGGCACAGGTCGCGCTCATGGAGCGGCCGGTGAGACCAGAGCGGAGGCGGGCCCTCTGGTCGCGCACGAGTTTCGGTCCGCGCGCATAGGGGAGTGATGGAGAAGGCCGGACTATAGCGAGGTCATCAAACACAGCAACACGGGCCGCAGATCTCCGCCATCTGCTGCGGTGACCACAAACAGGGCTGTGGCGAACACGCCGCCGACTGAAGCTCGACCACCAGCGGCAGAAGCCGCGCTGAGGACCTCTGGCCATAGCACGGGGAGACGACCGCGGGCCCGCAGCCGGCCACCTGTCGCATTGGGGTCAGCATACCTGCTCGCCTAGCCGTTACAGCTACCTCCCCCCCCCCCTCGCCCGTCAAACCAGTCCCCTCGGCGTCAGCCGGCGCGTGGCCGGGTGGCGAGCGCCGGCCGGCCGGCGGCCCACTCACTGGCGGTGCGGCCGGAGCTGTCTGCCTTATGGCCGCCGAGTGAGAGCCGGTGGTGCGGAGGGTCGGCGGAGTCGCCGGCCGCCGGCAGCCCGCTCAACTCCAGGAAACTCTCGGACCGGTTCACGCCGTCCGGCCGGTGGAACTGGCGCACCGGGCGTCAAGTCAGGTCAGGTCAGCAGGGCTAAACGGCCGGCGACGGGCACCGCACGGGCCGAGACACGTCGGCGGGCTGGCAACGCGTGCTACTTCCCGAAGCGGCAGGCGACAGGCTGAACGACACCAGAACACTACACACTGTGGGACTGCCTCATCTAATCTGACGTTTGTTTCAGCTGGGCACTTGCGAAACAACAAGATATTCAGGTAATCACTTTCGGGTAGGCGACCCATTAACATCCCGCAACAGCAGCCAACACCATCGCGCAAATAACTAAGGCTGGCCCGCGGTCACGGGCGCACCGACAACGAAAAACTAGCGGCTCGCATTAACGTGGATGACGCCCGTGCGTTGAGAATGCCGGTGATCCCGTCCAACGTTGACCCGCAGTCCGCCCGAGCCATCAGTGACGCAGGGTGGCCCGCAGCCGCGCGGCCACACGCCCGACTCGCCGTCACGCCCGTCACGGTACTGACGTAGCTGATGTTGGGCACGCTGGCCGTCTTGCGCATGCTGCCGGTGCCGGAGAGGGGGCCGGCGCCGTCCTGGATCAGCTCCTTGACGGCCACGCTCTGGCGCAGCCGGTCCAGTCGCAGGATGCTGTCCACGGCGCTCACGCCCTGCAGGTACTTCTCTGCGGAGCGGGGCCGATAGGCTGCGTCACACGACCGGAAGGAGGCGGCGGCACCGCCCGACCGCAGACGACACACCGGCCGACACCGGATCAGGTCCCGCCAGGCTCCACAACACCGGAGTAGGTCCCGCCAGACTCCATAACACACAACACTGGTCCGAGTCGGACTGTGAGCCGGCCTGTGTCGGGCCATACAGACTTACTGGAGCACAAACCGAGCTCAGCCCAACTGCCGACCCAGCACAGCTCTCCCATCATGCCTCAGGCCTAGCCCAGTCCTTGCTTGCAACACTGGCCCCGTCTTAGCTCGCGAGAATAGCTCCGTCCTAGCTCGCGACACTAGCCACGTCCCAGCTCGCGACACTAGCCGTCCTAGCTCGCGACACTAGCCACGTCCTAGCTTGCGACACTAACCACGTCCTAGCTCGCGAAACTAGCCGTCCTAGCTCGCGACACTAGCCGTCCTAGCTCGCGACACTAAACACGTCCAAGCTCGCGACACTAGCCCCGCCACAGCTCAGACGCCCACTACGCCTGCACTCGTCCGGCTGCTGACCGCGCCCCGCCACGCGTCTCAGCAGTCCGCCCGCGCGCCGCCACGCGCCGCGCCCTCACCGATGTACGTCTCGCCGTCCGGGTCGCTGGCCTCCTGTCCCGAGGCGGCGATCTGCGCCAGCGACTCGCGGTCCTCCAGCTCCTCGCTCGCCTGGGGGGACGGCGGGGCTGAGCACCACCACGGGGGGGGGGGGCTGGTCGGCTCAATCCTACCCCGCCCCCTCTCCAAAGCGTATAGGTTCAAAATGGGGGACACTCACTGGAACGGCCGCATCCTGGGTTTGCTTTGGGGGGACAGAGTGGTTATATACGGCGTACATCTGCCTCGCATGTCTCCATATTCGACCACATTTTAACGTAAAAGACTCTAGAATGCCAACAGATCATTTGGCGACCTTTATAACCTACCAAGTATCCACGGAGTTACGTTCCACACCACTGCCAAAAGGCGGGATCTCGGGCTCGCCGGCCCCTCACCTTCGGAATGTTGGAGACGACCTCGTAGACGACGCCGGTGGCCTCCACCTGGTCCGTGCGACGAAGCGAGATGCTGCGCATCAGCTTGTTGGTGAAGGTCGGCTTGTAGATGTTGACGGCGAGTCGCTTGCGCAGTACGATGTCCATGGGCAGCGGCTGGCAGAGCCGCACGCGCACCAGCAGCACCAGGTACACCCGCTCGTTGGCTGCAGACCGGGGGAGAGCGGCCGCATGAGGCGGGGCCGGGGGAGGGCGGCCGTCTGAGGTGGAGCCGGGGGGAGAGCGACCGTCTGGGGTGGAGCCGGGGGGAGAGCGACCATGTGAGGTGGGGCCGAGCGGGAGAGCGGGCATGTGAGGCGGAGCCGAGGGGAGAGCAGCTTCGGAAACGACCTGTTTCTAAAAACAACTTCGCCACGCATGGACATCAGCCGTCCTCCACCGGCCAATGAGGCGACAGTGTCGGCGACTCCAGCCCACCGGCACCTGTCCGCAGGCCAAGACTGCGCCTATGCGCTCGCACTGAGCGCCATAACCGAGTGTGATTCTGTTGTGGTTCACCGGGTGTGATTCTGTTGACGTAAGCCGCGACTCACCGGGTGCGATTCTGTTGACGTAGGCCGCGACTCACCAGGTATGAGCCTGTTGAGGTAGACCGAGACTCACCGGGTGTGATTCTGTTGAGGTAGACCGAGACTCACCGGGTGTGATTCTGTTGAGGTAGACCGAGTCGTGCACGCTCGAGTCCCACTGGGCCACGGCGGCCACGCACGGCCCGTCGGCGGCGCGCACCGGGTGCAGCGCCACCATGTGCTCGCCGTGCTCCTTGGGCAGGTGGGAGTTAACCCCTGCGCACGCCAGCTCGCCCGCCAGAGAGCCCGAGCTCAGGTCATCCGCTGCAGGACAAAACACCGCCTGGTCAGGGGTCCAGTCGGGGGGTACAGGGGCAGGCTGGCCTCGTCAGGAGGAGGGGGGGGGGGGGGGGGGGGTCGGCCGGTGCGGGCGCCGGCCGGCCTCGCCACGGCGCTGGCGGTGCATCGAGGCGCAGCTGATGTTTGGACGTGCCAGCGGCCTGAGTGCAACAGCACGGCGGGAAACACCCCCGCTGAGCGGGCACAGCTAGGTCATCGGAGAACCGCTGGGTAGCGAACACACACACGCGCACGCGCCCGGTGCTGTGACGAGTGACGGAGCGGTCACAATCAGCGCATGCCCGCCCCAGGCGCGCGATCCGAGGTCAGGACTAATCCGTGTGCGACGAGGACAGGCCAGGCCGACACGCCCCGTCTCGAGGCGGAGAGGTCGGGCCGGGCCGCTTCCGCCCGGCGGGTGCCGTACCGTTCAGGTTGAGGAAGAGCACGGGCACGTGCCGCTCGAGGCCGGCGCGCTGCTGCACGTGCGCCGAGAGCGGCGAGCCCGGGATGCCGCTGCCGGCCGCCGGCACCAGCACGGCGTTACGCTCCTCGTTCAGCTGGATCCACTGGTCCAGCAGCGACTTCTCGCGCTCGTTGTCCGCCTCGGTCTTGTCTGCAGCAGAGTGGCGCCGCGCCCGGCCGTTAGCGGGGAGTGGGACGGCGCGGCAGCGGGGAGCGGGACGGTGCGACAGCGAAGAGCGGAACAGCGGGGAACAGGACGGCGTGGCAGCGGGGAGCCGGACAGCGGGGAGCGGGATGACTTGGCAGCGGAGAACGGGACAGCGAGGAGCGGGACGGCGAGGCAGCGGGGAGCGGGACGGCGTGGCAGCGGAGAGCGGGACAGCGGGGAGCGGGACGGCGCGACAGCAGAGGGCAGCCGGCAATCGCTGACGCTACGGCGGCCGGCGCCGGAGAGCCTTTTCCCGCGTTAGACTTGAGACAAACTCTAGCAAAGTGAACTGCGATATCTTGTAACGCGTTAGCCCGTAAGATATATTTCAGAAAATTGGCCTACCACAAGAAGCGTTTAAACTTCACCCTGCCAGAACAAGAATAAAATTGCGATCCCAAAACATCAGTTTCCAACAAACACAAACCGGCTTAAAAATTGTCACTTCCGCGTTTTATATCTGGCCGTAACGCTACATACCAAACAATGCAATGGAAGTACCACTACCGAAACATAAGAAGAATACGTATCACACTCGCCTCTCATAGCGCTCACACTTAGCCAAATATGTACCCATCATTTCGACGTAAAGACAACATCCCTGTCAGAAAACTAACGACGCGTAAATCGGGCAAGCATGAAGCAACCATCTATGTCTTACCCACCAATGCGATGAGCCCGATCCCTATACCAGAAACCATGCGATTGCTGTTACAGGCGAAGGTTACAATCGCAGCCCTCCAACCCCGACACGCGAACGCCCTCCTCAGGGCCGGGCCTGACCTTGTTTCTTGATGATCTTCTGCAGGTGCGAGTCGAGGTACTGGCGGCGGCGGACCAGCGCGCTGGACCAGCGCTCGCGCAGCTGGTTCAGGTCCGCCTCCTGGTACGAGTCGAGCGGCTTCTGCATGCGGTACCTGCGCGCGGAGGGGGCGCCCGCTCAGCCGACAACAGCACCGCGCTCACCGCGGCTCGGCCGGCGCCCGCTCAGGGGTGACCTTTCAGCAGCCGTCCAGAAACATAACTTATGCCGACCGCATGCACATTGACATGGATCCGGAAGATGGCAACAGACATATATTGTCACTCATGACGATTAATTGCTCCACATTCACAGTACGGTTTACTTTGTGGCTGAGCGCGTGCCTGTGCGCCGCTTGCTGGAACCGAGCGACTGCACTGCGCACTGAGCATGCTTCGAAACATGCTAAATGCAAGGACGCCACCTGATTTGACAGCCATTTATAACAATATGCATTTGCCCCAAGACAAAAACAATGGAGTGGAAGACAACTGAAAAAGATGACAACCCCTGCGACTGACACGCGCTGCATTCACTGAAATGCGCTTTCTGCGACTTAACAGTTCCTCTGCTCGAGACACGAACACGACCTGTGTCGGCACCGCGCCAGGTCTGCGAGTCGCGTACGGCTCGGCGACTCGACCGGCCGAACGGCGGCGCTCGGCGACCCGACCGGCCGAGCAGCGGCGCTTGGCGACTCGACCAGTCGAGCGGAGGCGCTTGGCGACTCGACCGGCCGAGCGGCGGCGCTCGGCGACTCGACCGGCCGAGCGGCGGCCGTCGGCGACTCGACCGGCCGAACGGCGGCGCTCGGCAACTCGACCGGCCGCCACTCACCGGCACGTCACGCTGCCGATGCTGATGGCCGAGATGGCGTCACAGACCAGCGGCAGCGTGCCGGAGTTGAGCACGGGCAGCACGCGCACGGCCAGCCGGCGCTGTTGGCCCTGACGCAGTTGATACACGCCGCCCGAGGCCACGTCCGTGCGCGCGCACACCTCCACCGGCTGGTACTCGCCTGCGGGGGGAACGCGAGTGGCGGCGCCGGTCAGCGGCACCGCCCGGTGGCGCCACAGGGAGCGGCGACACGCGACGGTGCGCCAACGCCGGGCGCGCCATAAAACACGACGCCGAACATGGGGATCGAGAACAAAAGAACGCAGTCGACTCCACGTACTCCGGCAAAGAAACGGGCAGCTATCTAGTCAAGCACACCTTGACAAAAGACAGACCGGAGGTCGTTACGACGAATGCCCAGGGCATCCTCTCACCGTGGTCGTTGAGCTCCTGCAGCTCCACCCAGAGCTCGAGCTTGCGCGTGAGCTCGGCCCAGCGGTCGGCCAGGGAGCGCGCCTTGGCCAGCTGGCTGTCAACCACGTCCAGCGTGGTGGGGACGGACGAACTGAAGCCGGCTGAGCGATGACCCCATACCTCCACCGACAGCGCGCCCTCTGCCGCACGGACGATGGTCACGCAAGGCGAGAGCCGCACAAGGCGGGCCCCACACCTCCACCGACACAGCGCGCCCTCTGCCGCACGGACGATGGTCACGCAAGGCGAGAGCCGCACAAGGCGGGGCCCCACACCTCCACCGACAGCGCGCCCTCTGCCGCACGGACGGTGGTCACGCAAGGTGAGGGCCGCACAAGGCGAGGGCCGCACGAGGCGAGGGCGACAAAGAAAGCCTGTCCTTGATGCCAGGGTCACATGAGGGGTGTGTCGCACGAGCCGTGGGTTACACCCGGACATCAAGGACGAAGTGTCACAGGACGCTACACAGTCACAAGAGGTGCGGGTCGCAGGTGAGCGTCACGCGGCCGGCAGGCTCGAGAGGTCACACTGCCGGGCGGGCCCCCGCCGTCGGTGACAGCGGCCCCACGTGGCAACATCGCTCTCTAGGAGACCCGCAGCCGGGGATCGCGCCCCGGTCGCCGGCTTAGGTAGCTAGTTGGTGACGAGTTCGGGCTCAGGGGCGAGTCGACAGCGACGGTGATGGTGCGCCCCTGTCTCGCATAGTGACGGTATATAGGGGTGTCGTCGGACGTACCGGCGCAGTTCTCGATGAACTCCTCGCAGACGGGGATGACGAAGTCGCGGCAGTGGTCGAACTGCACCACCACCCGGTCGTTGGCGCACGAGGACGCGCTGTTGCTGATGATGGGTGGACAGACCTGCGGAGCCGGTGGACGGCTTCACACGAGCCCAAGACGGCCACGGCCAGCGCGTCGGTGGTTACAGGGCGTGGCAACAGCAGCGAGTCACACACATCGCCCCGCCCCCTCCCCTCCCCCCCCCCCCACCATCGATGCGTGCAGAAAAGGCAAACGGAGAGTAGAGGTATGAGACGGCTTGGCCTCATGTCTCTCGCAGAGACATAACTATCGCACTGACGGGCGAGATACAGCGCCTCGTTGTTTGGGCCAGCAGCGACAGAGCGCATGACTCGGAGGTCGGAGGTCGGAGGTCGGAGGTCGGAGGACTCCCAGCCACTCACCTGAGTCTGAGAGCAGCCCCAGATTGTATTGGCAGAAGACGAAGTGCGACAGGGACAGCGGCAGTCCGGTGGCTTGCTTGATCGTCACCTGGACCCGACAACAGATGGCGTTACAAGTCGGTCAGATCTCACCCCGCCCGGTCGCCGTGCCA